CACTACCATAAAATTTTCTGGACCGATACGTCAAAAGGATGTTTAAGAAAAGGGCGTACTCCTTTTCAAAAGGCCAAAAATTATACCTACGATTCTTCTGACGTTGCAATTATTCATCGGGAACCATTTAATCTTCTTACAAAAATGTTTTCTTTGATATTAATGAATAACAATAACATCTAATTTTATACGTGGTAAAGCCATGCGGCAGCTGTATGTATACTCGTATAGTTGTAGCACAACTGGGTCGACAGGGAAAAGCCTACGCTCTCACAGAATACCAAATTAAAATACGTTGGTTTTCTGTGACTAGTGTAGCTTAATGCTGGTGTTTCGTGTGGTAATTGCAGAGAACTGAAGACCTTTTTTACTGGAAATCAGCCATTCTATCTTAGTCCTCAGGGGCGAAAAGGCATTTTGAACCTTAATTGAGAATAGATGGAGATGCCTTTGGGCCAGAGCATCCATTTACCATCAGTTGGACTATATGCTCGAGGTTGGTTGTTATTCTGTAAGAAAATGAAATTATAATTAATATTACAGAACTTGAAACGAAAAGAATCCTAGCTATTTCTAATCTTAATCTATCACTAAAAACTATATCAATTTCGGCGTGCTCGCCTATAATTTTAATATGGTCTCAAAAAATAAAAAATACAGTATATATATAGGATTATATAAAATAGGTATATAGGATTAATAGAGATATACTTTACCTACTAATATTATTTAAATTACAATACTATCGCTTATTGATCAAGCCGTGAAAAGATATACCATCTATGGAATTCGTGATATTATAAGACATTCGTGAGATAAAAAAACTATTTCAATATTTATGATATATAAAATATATATATTGTAATAAATCAAACGGCAAGTAACGTGGAAAATATCTATAGTGCATAGCTATCAACCAACACCAAAGTCTAAGTCAGAATAAAATCCGATAAGAGAGAGATAAATTTGTAAACGTACGTCGATAAAATGCAGAAAACGTGAGCAACACCACTAAACTTTCCAGAGCAATCAAGAGCGTGAGTCCGCATATAATATGTTACGTCCAATCCGCATTAAAATAATATTGGTCCACGAACGCTACGATTTTCCAAATAGTGTTCCGTTCGCGCAAACAAACCATAAATTCGGAGATTTTAAAACCTTTATCTTTTTATTTACACTGTTGTTGGTGCGGTGCCGAATCGAATCCTGGAATTAGTTATGCTTATAGAACAACCAAAAACATTATTATACATGATAACTGTGTACGTTTGTTTTGAACAAAAATGGGATGAAGTTACTTTAATAATAAAATTTAATACGTGTAATTTAAAATAAACATTGCTTTTAGGATTAAGGTTATGAAATATTTGACATTTATTTTTAAAATTAAACATGAAAAAGTATTAGTATTATGTTTCTACATATTCCACACACATACTATTCTTATGTACCGTTATCGTTACCGTTACAGTCTATTAAAGTTCACTGCTTAACATAGGCCTTCCCCATAAATTGCCTGTTTTTGTGTTAGTCTTCCCGATAGATTGCCTGTTTATGTGTAATTTAGTGAAGTCCAATGCCATCTTATATATATATATATATATATATATATATATATATATATATATATATAAATCTTGATTTGTATATAAATAAAAATGGATACGTGAGAATAACTCTGTGCAAAGTTTAATCGAAATTAGTCAATTAGTTTTTGAGGAGGAAGCAATAAATCTATCGCAGTATGAAGTCTGATTAAAATTACGTTGTGGCAACATTCTCTTCACACTCAGATTAATAAAGAAAGATAGACGGAGCGCTACGTACATTCCAATTGACGTCGAAATCATGCTCAACTTCTTGACAAGCACTCTTTCATTTTATTTTTACAGTTAGCATAATTCCATATCAAAAAACAATAGACAAAAATTTTAAAAATTGTATTTTAGTTATAAGTAACGTATTTACTTTCATATATATTTAGTAGAAAAAACTGTAATTTTTACATTACAAACAGACACTTCAATTTTATTTATTTGTATATGTTTAAAAATAAACATAAAAGATTTTTAATTTCCAAGTGAAGTAAAAATCTGTTTAAAATTTTAATAAAATCAATTTTACAAACAGTCAGACAAATTTGACAATTTCTATTTATTTTTTTATTTTTATCCAGCCTATTTTAACCAGTAATTACTTATTGTTATCTATCTTATCGATTTTAGATTATAATCAACTAATTAATAATTTTTTACATCTAAAATTTGTCATAATTATCAATTATTGTGCAAGCATATTTATTTTTTACATGAAAATTATATAAAATACTTTATACCTTTAAAATAACACATTCCGAACACGGGTAGACTAAAAAATTATGTACATAAAAGTATAATATGTAGGCGTACATAATTGTGTCAAATGGGTTCATATACCATTTATGTATTATTAACACGGGATAGAGCCGTGCTAAAGCAATAGAACGCACGCACGCACGTACGCACGCACGCAAGCACGCACGCACGTACGCACACACGCACGCACGCATGCACGCATGCACGCACACATGCATTCTCAAAATCTGACCGAAACCTATAACTTCCTACTTTTGAAAATTATTAATTTTCAAAACGGGAAGTTAAAAAAGAAACGGCTCTAAAGATGTGGAAATTTCGATTTAGGTAATGTTTTGTTTTCAAAGTTAATCTAAAGAGATGTCACTCGTGAGAAAATTATTATTATTTTTTTACTTGTCCTATATTTATGTCCAAAATAGATATCTACTATGATACTTTGAGCATACTGTCAAAATTGTCACATTTAACTATTTACAAAAAGGTATAAGATTCTTAATCAAAAGTTCATAATCTCATCAAAGTTACAAACAAACTCTTTTCAAGTGCCTTAACTAAGTACCGGGCAATAATAAGTTACAAAAGTATTAAGAGTCCCAGATTTGAGGGATAAAAACGGCGATAACAGCATAAATGTCGTTTATCGTTACGACCTAACTTCTAACGAGCTGCCATAAACTGGTTATTTACTTTCTTCACCTTCGCGGATAAGGTTACAAGGTAAAATATTTTATATTGTTAGATGAGTATTTATTTTACCATTACGCACAAAGGGTCTAATTTATATGAATTACTTTAAACTGGTTAGGTAAAATAGATTTACATATGTACTAATTAAGCCCCTGAGGCGTGGTAGCTCAGAGGCTGAGCGCTCGCTGTCAATTTCGCAGTGCGTGAGTAACCCGAGTTCGATCCCCGTCGGCATCATTGAAATTGATAATTTCAAAACACAGAAAAAGCATCACACAAAGCAAAGCACATGCATCTTAAAATATTAAAAACTAACTAAGGTTTTTATTCTGCCTGCCAAGCTTGCCGACTATGACAATCGTCCCCCTATAAGGAAATCTGTGGGGGAGGCAGTGAATTATTTTTTAATAGAATAAGGGTGACAAACGAGCACACAGTCCACCTGATGGTAAGTGGTTGCTGTGGCCCATAGACATCTACATCTATCCTCGTTTGCGATTCAAAATGAAGATGAGTTGTCATCCGTGAGGATTAACATGGAATGCCTCTTTTCCAGTAAAAAGGTTATCCGTTTCTCTACACTCATCATACAAAACACAGCAGCATTAAGCTGCTATTTTTCGCTGGTATTCTGTGAGAGCGTGGCCGTTTTCCTGATCGAGCCGACCCATTCGTGCGAAAACTATACTATTTATATAGCTGCAGCGTGGCTCTACTACGTGTAAAATATTTTAACAACCTGTATTATGATAATACACTTTTATTAAACACGATTTATTGTTATTGAATTAATTAAGCTTGATGTTACTCCCCGTCGCCAGTCTGGGTTTTCACATCTACCTTGTATATATTTTTAATAGAAAAAGGGTGAATAACGAGCACACATTCCTCCTTATAGTAGGCGGATGTTGTAGCCCATAAACGTCTACTTCTATCCTCAATCAGGAACGAAAATACAGATACGTTGTCATGAGTACGAAGATAGAATGCCTCGTTTCCAGTAAGAAAAATATCCTATACTATACACTCACTATACGAAACACAGCAGCATTAAATTTTTTGCGAATTTGGTCCTATCCCGGTCGAGCCAACCCTTTTATGATACAACCATAATATAACTGCAGCCTAGCTCTACCATGTACAAAATACGTATATATGAGAAGCTTATATTGTTAGATATCAAAGGCAACTAACACATTTTGACAGGCATTTTCTTCTTATGACCACCAGAGAAATAGGTACATTTTTGGATATTGCATTTTGGACACTAATGTTTGATTCTTATATACAATATATTTTCCGTTACGATCTGTTTTATCTGCCGATTTCCAAAAAGGAGACGGTACTAAATTCAACTACATGTTTTTTTTATGTGTCTTTACCTCATAACTTTTTACTGAGTGAACCGATTTCAATGATTCTTTTTTTATTTGAAAGCTGGTACTTGTTGAATGGTCAATTTGATCAAGGTTAGATCAATACTTCTTGAGTTATTCTTAATAACTTCTATTGAAGTCGGCTGTACAAAATTTTAAATTTTAAATTATGATTTACAAAGTACGTGCTAACACGGTTTTTGTAACAAACTGTTCTTCCTCTTAAGATACTAAGCTTCGATTTAAAGTGAAACAACTTTAAGCCGTCTTAAAGTTGTTGAACAAATATTTAGTTTAGTATATGGCTTTACATGACTTTCTGCACTGCAAAACGGGACGTAAGCGAAAACGAATCATTTTTTAAATTTGGGAACCAGTGAGAAGTAAAAAAAAAACTACGATGAAACGAAAAAGTAAAAGACTACGTTCGGAAATTCATCGTAAACCCTTAAAATGTATTTCTAAATGATGTTAAATTATATATAGCCTCTTTCCTTTAGACCACTAATGGTCCTATATCCGCCTTAATAGTAAGCAAAGTAAACTTTTGCTTAAATCTTGAATATTTTGTCTTCAGGTACGGCAAATACACTAAAATCTCTGCAAATCCACGTCCCGAGAGCCGTGTTAACAGGAAGGGACGCCGAGCTAATGTGTACTTACGAGTTAGAAGGCGCACAGTTGTACTCGATTCGATGGTATAGAAACATGATAGAATTTTATCGATACGTACCAAAGGAGTCACCCGCTACAAAGGTGTTCCCAGTGGCCGAGATTAAAGTTGATGTAAGTATATTAATTAAATTATCTTATGACAACCTCTTTATCCAACTCATTCTTTGGTAGCGATATAAGAGAATCCATTCCTTCATTTTTTCCCGTGGGTGATGTAAAATGCGACTATGAGAAATAACAGAAATATATCAAGAAGGGTACGTGATTTGAGACGGCAGCCTTGGTTCTCCTGACCGCAAAGCCTGAACACAATTATATTGAAAAATGTTAACCAGATATAGAATACGATATAAATCTGTTTGACACAATTTATCTTTTGTCGTGTTTTGTAAACCTATTACACCGAAAAAAAATATTGCTAGTATTTTAACGTATGGAAATATTCCTAACTCCATTGCCCCAATTACTTGTCTCTGACAATGTTTCTTAAAGGAGTTATGGCTTCAGCGTAACCACATTAAATACATCATTTAAACATACATCCCGTATGAGACAAAGACTCTCACCACTTGTTAATTAATATTTTAATATTATATTATGTACCAAATAATTTTTTTACCTACCAATATTATGCGATTTTTTTTCGTTTTTATTTTATTTGTCTAGTGATATTTGAAATTGTGAGTTTGGAGCTAATTACGATGTATCGTTTTTATAGAATATCAATTGAGACCTTCAATTTGTTTTATAAATATATTTTACATTATATACAAACACTGCAACTGCTACCTGCAAACATTTTTTTTAATACAGTAGTAACGAACTAACTTAGCAGTCCACCTAATATTATGTGGCTATTTACATTTACACTAATACTGCAACAATTACGTGCAAACATTTTTTATAAAAGCTGAAGTGTCGAACCAACTTACCGTCCACCTAATGGTAAGTGGCTAAGGCAGTCCATGAACACCTGCTGCCAACTTCAAACAAAGAAGGCTACAGAATTATCACATCCAAGGACTAGGAGGGAATACTACTCTGCCTGTAATCATGCTGGCTATCTATTAGACCAGTATTCAGACTATCTATCAGACCAGTATTCAGACTATCCCACAGCAGTAAACGGTACACGGCGGCATAAATACTAAAGAGACACGGACTCCTAGGCTGAAAAAGGAGTCCTATTGTCTAAAAAAACTATAAATCAATTATTTTAATTCATTAAATGCTTGCTAGGTGGCTTCCTCGGACCAAAATCGTGTGGTGATCAGAGAAGTCGATCGTATGTTGACGGGAGAGTATCAGTGCGAAGTATCAGCTGATGCACCCCTGTTCCACACTGACATAAAATCAGCGGAAATGGTCGTTGTGGGTAAGTATTACACGCATATTATTACTCAATATCTAATACTCTGACCGATCGGACCGAAACTGATCATACCGATTCCCTTTGGGATTGTTCGTTGACTGCTACGTAAGCACTATGCTAATCAACACGCAGCTTTCGAAAATTCTAGAAGACTGTAGGCAAGCTGGTCATTTAACCAAGGTTTTAATGAGACTAAACAAACCATAGATCATAATGGCAACAATTTCTATTACAAGACACGGCTCTTTTTACAAAAATTTATTTAACATAGGTATTACAGACATTCCCCTGAGAAGGGCGTGTGTGAGGGAGGAGGATACGGTCGCCCACGTATTGCTGGCGTGTCCAGAGATCATCGTATACAGGGCTAAACATCTCGGCACTTCGATATCATTACTCTAAGTTGTTAGCAACATTACAGTATTGCTGAACTTCTTCGAGCTGATTTCATGGCTCGAATAATCTAAATTCCTGCCCACAGGCAAAATACATTCCTAGACTTGAAGTTGCGGAGATTAGTCCGCAGTAAACTAAACTAAACTAAGTATTACCTAATAATTAAACGTTTCATGGTAACATTTCGCACAACCATAATTGCGTGTATCACGTGGTCAGCTGCTCTGAATTTGTTGAATGCTATACAGTTTTTTTTATATTTCTCCCCTCACTTCCCTTCACTTTTTTATATACTCCATAGTATAATTTATAGCCCTTTTTACTGGAAATGAGGCATTCCATCTTAGTCCTCACGGGTGACAACGCATCTACATTTTGATTTGTAATAGAGGATAGATGTAGATGTCTATGGGCCGCAGCAACCACTTACCATCAGGTGGACTGTGTGCTCGTTTGTCACCCTTATCATATAAAAAAAAAAAAATAATATCTACGAGACGGACATCATCTTTTTCTACATTTTTACAGGAAATACGTCACCTCTAATGATAGGTAATAAAATAAATACCTTTTCGTGGCTATATAAGTTTATTTCAATTTTCCCAATAAACTTCCCGTCAGATCTCCCATTTTCCTTGCACGGCCAAAACCTCATTTTAAAAAAAAATTACCTATACGATAACCGCCACATACCTATAACTAGAAACATTGTACTGTAGCAATAGTGTTAATTTTTATGTGAGTATAAAGACTATAGCAATAATAAGCTAAACAATATTATAATAAAAATAATATAAAAATACGATTTAATATATTACACAATATATTTTTATTATTAGGGTAAATACAAATTTTGTGTTCAAAATAGAACAATGTCAATTTTAAAAGTTGGAGCTGACATAGTCGCCAATATTACTCTACTTTCCGTGAAATCCTTTATTAGGGGCGTTGAAATATTGCATATCAACACAGCTGGCGTTTTGTCGAGATATTTGGTAGAAACAAACGGTCCAGTTCAGTTCGGATTCAATCTGTTACAGTTCTTTGTTTTGTGTGTTTGAGAATAATTTTAAGCATAGTGTACTACAAATAAAATATAATATATCAAAAATGTTTAGTTTTATTGCTTTAAAAATCAATTAAAATTTAATCTAGAAGCCATGGTTGGAAAGGATAGGGACTAAGAAAATCATAAAAATGCCAAAAGGGATAGGCTTAACATAAATATGTTATTTAATTATGAATTGTCTTATTTCACATAAAAAGCGCAGTTTTATAAATCTTGTATGATATTGTAATTTTCCTGTGTGCGCTATTAAATTTGTGAATGAAATAAAACTTCTGAAAGAATAAGAGGGTTTATGACTAAAACCATTTAGCAAAACCAGCAAATCATATCGGTGGGAATAAATATGCTCATTTATCAGTGACCTTGTGACGAATGCGATTAAAATAATGTAAGATGTATATTACACGAGGATAAAGATTGCTTGAACATTAACAAGAATATTATATTTTTACAGAACCACCTCTATTAAATCCTAATGTCACTTCCGACCGCATGACATATGTTGGTGGAGACCACATACGAGCTAACTGTTCATCTCCACCTTCTTTACCTGCAGCAAATATCACCTGGTACGTCAATGAGCAAATGGTGAGTTTACTTACTACCACTTACTACTTACTACTTTCATACTTTACATATTATTATTTAACGCTAGAGATACATTCATTTTCTTTCAAACGAATTCTGCGAGGTGTGATTTGAAACTAACAATCAAATGTCAATCTAGACTAGATTAAAAACTTGGATTATTTGCATACATATTAAGTATGCACTCTAAGATTAATACTATTAAAATTAAGAATAATTACATAACACAAATTTAATATATTGATGTTACAAATAAGATATGAAACTTTACATATTATGCATTTTCATCTATAAATTCTGTAAACTCATTTATTTATTTTTATAAAATTGAAAAGTAAATAAGAAATAAACAAATATATTACAAAACCATATTTATAAGTATTAATCGTGATTTTCTTTTAGGTGCCAGGATTTACTGCAAACCACGTGTTCAACTTTAGTAACGGCTATGCTTCTAGTTTAGCTACTTTAGAATTAGAAGCAGCTGTCCTATCACCTGTACCCACACTTATGATTCGGTAAAATAAACTACTACTTAACAGTTGTATAGTATGCTCTTAATGATAAGAATCGAAAGTCGGTAAGAAGCAACTTTGGGATATGCCACAAAATTCCTATGGCTTCTGATAGATTTGCCTCTTTTACGCCAGGCGTAAAATATCCAGACTGGCAACGCAAAACGTCAACGTCTGCTAACGTCAATCTACCTTTTAAATAAAACTAGTTTATATGGATTTTATCGCGTATATTAACTTATTTAATATTCCCAAACTTACGAGTACTTTTCAGCACCCGTGACCATCACGGGGAGGGGAGGGGGGGGGGGGGAGGCTGAGGTGTTCTATGCCCCAATATCAAAGTTAACAACGGCTACCTCTAGTCTGTGAACACGTACAGGAAATCTGCAGTCTGTCTATACGTACAGGACCACCCCAGTCACTACATCTGATTTGATAGACCACAAATCTCCGCTAAAAACACCGAGTCCTTCCAAGGATAATTCGTGAGGATATTGAAAAAAAAAACATCCTAATTTCAATAGAGAAGATACCATTTGATTGAGATCTTATAATTAATAAAATTTCCTTTTCGTACCGGGTAGATCGTAACAAAAATACCCAATAATTAGGATAGTATTTGGTAGCCGTGGTTAACGTCCCCTGACAATGCGTGCTGAGAGGTTGGGAAAATAAAATAAGTTAATATAGCCGATTTAATCCGTAAAAACCGGTTTCATTTAAATGTGTAGTGTTCGTATAAATATAAGAAGTCGATCTCCCTGCCGTGAGGGTTAAGACAAAAATCCTAATTTTGGCCTTAATCATCACGTTTTTATAATGGGAGAGGCCCTTGTCTAGCAGTGGTCTTTTGTGGGCTAATGATGAATAATAAGAAAAATAATCTGGTTTAATTGATGACATTCTTCAAAAGTGAAATATTTTAAAGAATTTTCTTCAGGCAGGCTTTACTCGAATTTTGGCTAACTTTGTATTTTATACGCTCTGTTTATTTTTATAGAAAATGAGTGACAAACGAGCACACATTCCACCTGGTGGTAAGTGGATTCTGAGGCCCATAGACACCTACAATTATCCTCGATTTCGAAATGTAGATGCAGCGTTTCTAGTAAAAAGGGTCTCCCATTTTCTACACTCACCATATGAAATACAGCAGCATTAAGCTGCTATTTCACGCTGGTATTCTGTGAGAGAACATTCCCCGGTCGAGCCGACGCATTCGTGCTGCAACCATAATGTAGCATGACTCTACCACGTTGAAATATGTGGTGGCGAAGTTCGAGAGCCCATCAACATATTTACCGCGAAGCGGAGAGTTTGGGCTGACAGGTTATATGCCCCGCTCTAATGGAATCTAATCTCAAAACTGGTTTTTTTTATTTTTGTATTGTAACACCTACTTAAAGAAAATAATAGTAATATTGAAAGGAAACCCTAATGAATAAAAATGTTACTTTTACTAAAATTTGCAGAAATATTTTGTATTATATACTGTTAAATATTGTTTAAAATTCTAATATATTGTGCAACTATGTTGTGATTTCAATTAAAGCTTTATAATAATAATAATCTTTATTTCCATATTTTCCATATATATATCAGTTAACAATATGTCTATTTATAAACTACATAGGAATATTTCATCTTATAACATGAAAAATAGCATCCATTGCCGAACTAGGCCAAAACCTGTATTTCAGCATATGGCGCCACTCCCCAGACATAATAAACATAAATTATTTATTTAAATTATAGAAAATTTACAAAACTTTGTTCTTTATATTACAGATGTGGTATAAAACAAAAAGTAAAATTGAAATTAAAAAAAAAATATATATATATATTTATATATGTAAAATGTACCTCTTTTGTATATGGTGCTAGTGTACGTGTGTATGTGGATGTGTGTGAGTGTGAGTGTGGTGTGTGTGTGTGTGTGTGTGTGTGTGTGTGTGTGTGTGTATGTGTGAGCGCGTGTAAGAGGGTGTGTACAAGGTGAAGAATACAGTTTAATGAATACCTTAAGTTACCTAACAATAGAAATTCGAGCACTGTCCATAATAACTTAGCTCTGCACTGTCAAGAGATCTTCCGTTTCATCATATCCTAGAGTCAGTAACCAAGATGTTATTTTCTTTTTGCATTGCTTTATATGTAGGGAGTAAACTGGAATAATTTTATTAACTTTGTTATACACAAAAGGACCTAAAGCACAGTAAAATCTCCGAACAAATGAAGTATGAAACTGTTTTAGTTCACAAGGTCTGACTATTCTGGAGTTTATACATTTTTGAGGATCAAAAATCACTTCACTGTGTTGTTTCAAGATTATACCTAAGATAAACAGTTGTCTGACGGTAAGGACTTCACAATTTTCAAAGAGAATTTTGGTTGGGAATAAGAAAGGTCGAAAAGTGCTTACTTTGAGTACTGCACGCTGGGCAATTTCTAAGCACTTAATAGTAGAAGCTGGCGCTCCTCCCCAAGAAGTAATGCAGTACGATATCAGTGATTGGCAAAGTGCAAAGTAAATTTGCTTTATGAGTTTATAATCTGCAGTATGTCTAAGTGTTTTAAATATTATTATTAATTTTCGCACTCTTTTGCTTAATAATTCAATATGCGTTTTAAAATTTAAGTGACAATCTAACATTACCCCTAAGTATTTTATTTCATTAGTACGCTCTAATTTAGGACAGGAACATTTATCTTTATCTACAAAATTGCAACTGTGAGCCACAAGATGAAATTTATCTCCAAGTCCTTTCAATTTCCGAATAGAAAAAGGAATGTATTTTGTTTTATTAGGATTTAGTGTCAAAAAATTTTCACCCAGCCATCTAGAGACACTGTCAAAAGCATCCTGCGCAGCATCAAAAACTTTCTGCCAGGAAATGGCTGAAATTAATAGAACTGTATCATCAGCATAGGAGATCAGATTACCATTTAAAGGTGTAAATGAAGTTAGTTCATTAATGTAAATCAGGAATAGAGTTGGTCCAAGAACGCTGCCCTGTGGAACTCCATAAGATATAGGTGCATATGTGCTAATATATTCTCCAACTGCTGTAGCTTGAACACGATTTGTAAGGTAACTCTTAAAAAGATTCAACTGATTATCTCTTATGCCTATAGACTCAAGCTTATTTAGTAGAATGGGGATCGATACTGTATCAAACGCCTTTGCAATGTCTAGAAATATGGCTAAGCATTTATTATGTTTATCTAAATTCGTAGCAATAAAATTAGTCACTGCATGAACTGCATCTGAAGTAGACTTTGCCTGACGAAAACCAAATTGGTTATCAGAAAGTAACTTACGATTTTCCAAATAACTCACCAGTCTGATATTAATGAGTTTTTCCAAGATCTTAGATATAGCAGGAAGTAATGATATAGGCCTATAATTTGTGATAAGATCTTCATCACCACCTTTATGTATCGGAATAACTATGGACTTTTTTAAATAATTAGGAAAGACCCCAACTTGTAAACAAAGATTAAAAATAAATGTAAGAGGCGAGACTAAGTAATTTCTGAATTTTTTTAGGAATATGTTTGAAATATTATCCCAACCTGATGCACAGTTATCTTTAAGATTCAGAATTAAACTACTAACTTCAGCAATGTCAGTCTCTAATAAAACAAAAGAATTAATGGAGCCGGAAGCAGGACCCTTAGAAGCGCTAGAAAAATTATGGTTTGGATTTTTCGCTATTGTATCTGCTAAAGTTACACCAACACTAATAAAATACTCATTTATTTTATTGACGGACTTATACGGACAAGACTCATTCTTCAATAAATTCAATAAAGATTTTTTTGTTTTAGCTGTATGTGTTATATTTTTAATTATATGTCATATTTTTTTATTGTTATTTCCAGCTTCTTTTATTTGATCCTTTTCATAAGCTCTTTTTACCTTTTTTAGCAATGTGTTACAAAAATTTCTATAGCGAGTATATGTAATTTTAATTATTTCATTATTTGGATATTTTCTTACTTTATAATGCAGTTTGTCTCTATTTTTCATGCAGCGTAAAAGACCTGGTGTGATCCAAGGCTTTATAATTTTCTTATGTCTTGCTAAAGAAACAGTTTGAGAATTTTTATTTAGAGTGGATATCATTGTTTCCAGGAAATAGGTTAGAGCAAAATCAGGATCAAGTGATTCATAAACAGGAGAAAAATCCATATTCGAGATATCTATTTCAAGTTGATTATAATTTATCTTTGTTATTGTGTGATTTGAGTAACTACGAACTTGTTTCTTATGTAAACATAACATAACCGATTTATGATCAGTAAGATTCGACTGCATTACTAACGCGGTTATTGGATATTTTGTTTTTATAAGAGCATGATCAATACAAGTACCACTAGATTCGCGAGTAATGAAAGTATGCGCAGGTAACAATGAATGGTAAGCAGCAAGATTTAGGTATTGATCAGAAAATTTATGAGGTTTATCATCATTAATAGATATATTCATGTCTCCCATTAGAATAATATTGCTGAAGCCCTTTACTGTTTGCAAATTGTCATTCAAGGAACTCAAAAAGTGATCTAAGCAAGAGTATGAGGGAGAACGGTAAACCGCTAGGATGGCGGTGTCAATGCCAATTTTTATAAGAAGCGAGTTTGCATCAACAAATGGAGGCTCTTCAACAGTAGACATTAGATCATTTTTAATATAAACTACCACTCCATCATTTTGAATGGGATTATGTTTAGTTGAAAATACACGATAACCTGCCAAAGATGGTATAACAACCGTACACGATAGCCAACACTCTGTCAAGATAAGAATATCCATATTAACTTTTAATCTTGCAAGTAGAACTTCAAAACCAGTAATGTTTAAGTTAATGCTGCGGATGTTTTGTGTAAGGATTGAGAGGGAAGTTTGTGCAGCTGGTAAACATCTACTGCAGTCCTCCAAATCACACTCAAAAGCATTTGTGACAAATAATTTGTCCAGATCATCAGATATATCTTTTAAATTATTGAAAACGAGGCAAAATTATCTGTATACGTCAACAGAATTACTCCGTGTAAGAATAGAAATTTTGTGACAGTAAAATAAGTAACACATTTTTTTAAGAAATAAAAATATACAAGGTATTCATAACTAAAAGTAATAAAGGGTAATCGTGTGAAAGTGTGCTTAGTGTACAAAAAATTGAGATTAAAAAGTAAAAAAATAAAATTATAAGGAGAAAATACAATGAAAGTTAAACTTACAGCTACTAGTCATTGAGTTATTTTAAATTTTTCAAGATCTGATTCACTTTCTACTTTCACCAAAGGAGAGTTTACGTTTTTACGAAGATAAACCACACCACGCGATGTCCAACAAAAAGCAAACATGTGTTCCTTTTGAAACGCTCGAGCCAAGAAGAACATTCTCTGTGCCATTGGTGTCAACGTTTCAGCAACGAATACAGGCTTAATAGGGGTATCTATGTTAAAATGTCCAGTGTTTAATTTTTCGCCTTTCTCTTTATTCTTATTAAATAATTTCACTGCCTTGAGAACCTTTTCTTTCATAATTACAGAAGTGAATTCCGTGATAATGGGTTTTGATGAATCCTTAGCAGTTATTCTATATATGTCCTTAATATCTGAGTCTTTGATGTCAATGCACAAAGATTTTCCCATTTGTTTAACTAGGTTACCGAGGTCATCTTTAGATTCGGTCTTCCCTGTATTTTTATTTGGAATATTACGTATTTCAATACCAGCTGCCCGATTTTTGCGTTCCAACATGTCAATTTTTTCCTCCAAAAGGTTAATGTACTTTTTATCTTTCTTTCTTTCGGCCTCTAGGTTTTCAATTCTAGTTAAAAACTCGTCATATTTACTTGACATCACTTCAACAGATTTTGAAAGCTCGGCATTTTGATTTTTTATGCAATTCACAGAGATATGAAGATCATGGAAACGCTTATTTTGTTCTTTTAAAAGCGAGTCAAACATTTGCTTTAACGTGGACATAACTGTGTTATCATCTTCATCACGCTTTCTTTTCTTTCTCTCTGCAGCATTCTGTGGTAGGCGCAGGTCAGGCTCGGAATCATAGTGTAGCATCGTATCCAATACTCTTAATTCCGAGCTACTATGAAATAAAGATCTTTCTGCATCATCATTAGTCTGCTTATCCACAGTTTCTGACTTTTCGCGGGACAGATGCAAGTGCGGTGGAGTACGTTTAAGCGGCATATTTATTACCTTTGACAAAGTACTAGGACAACAGAAATGCGTACTTACTTGAATTAAGACGACAGATCAATATCACGTTCAGAGGTCTTACTTTTTTGACGACGATCGACGATTCAGTACAAATACTATGGTCACCACTTTATGTTGACCCCTCGCAACTGTACTCCGTTTATAGTACTAGTATTCCTTCGTGTATATTATGTTTCACCAACAGCAGCGAAACAAATTAATCTCTTGCTAGTGCTGTTTTCCTATTATTTACTTTAAATTATTGTTTAATTTATTTGTAATTTTAATAAAGAAAAGGATTACAAAAACACGTCTATTCGTCACAAAAGTCCGGGGGGAAGTATTTATATTTAAAACATCATTCCGTGGGTTCCATATTTGTCGTAAGAACGAAAAATCTGCTAAATGATTACTGATTAATGATTAAAATAGCAGTATAATCATCTTATTTAAACCAAACTACTACAGGTATCAGCATTAAGAATGGGATACAAAACCTCCCTTTAAGAGATTATGAAGACAGACCAAAGTATTTTAATGTTGGAAAGTTAACAAAATTGTACAGGGACAAATCTGGCCTGAAGAATTTATTAATTTGCTCATTTATTTCAGATGTGAGGCATCAATATACGATGTATGGAAAGCCACAAGTCACACTATTGTACTCCGAGAACGTAGTGCCAATCCTGCTTCTGCTTTGGGAAGAAGTTTTACAGGTCTAGTATATTCTCCATTTAATAGAATAATTACCTTTGTATAATAAATAAAAAGTTATATAATTTAAAAATAACAAAAATACAAAAACTACTGCTGCAAATTCATGAGTTCTTGCGTTAAAATTAGTTTTGCTATTTGTTACTTTCTCTTGCGTTTTTTGGAAGCCAATGTTATATTTTAAATAGTATACCCAAAAATTGTTTTAGAATTTTTCTTGTATAATTTGGTGGTTTGTTTTGCGCATTGTATCTGAATCTAAGGTTTAAAATTAGTAGCTAAAAATTGTGGTTATTATTTAATGCAAGAAAATTTTATTTTGTTTGTAAACTTTATTTACAATGACGATTGCTACAAAAACGATTGCCTAATATTTTCTTTTATTTCCAGGAGGAGCTACAGAGACGTGTCTACCGACAATTTTAATGCTTATTCTACAAATTCTCTTACAATTTTTAATAGAAAATTTTACAGAAACCTCTATAAGATAGCTGAATTAGCTTTCATATGCATTTGTTCGTAAGTGGTTATTAGGACAAGTAATTTAAGTATTATGAAATTTGTAGTATATTCAGGGTTTTAAAATATTTATGAAATATAATATGTATAGCTTGGGCGTACCTCTACTGTTATTTTTCTTAATGTTAAGAACTTGGGAAATTCGTCCTCCGTTTGTCGTAATATTCGTCATTTTTTTGTTTTATTTTTGTAACTATAGAATAACAAGTTTTGTTTAATGAATTAGTACAGTATAGAATGTTTACGTTAAAGAGTATTACTTGCAATGTATTTGTTAATATTTATTGTGTTACATATCCTAGCTGCTAAACAGAATTCATAACCCTACTGCGTCCTTGGATATTTAATAATTAAGATATGGATAAATATTAGGAACATCTTATGGCCTTGTTTGGATAGCAGTGTAGACATCTCATATGCCAGGTTTTTTTTATAGAATTTGGGTGACAAACGAGCACAAAGTCTACCTGATGGTAAGTATGAATGGCGTTGCGAAGAGATGCTGCAACTCTTTAAGTATTCCATTGAATCTATCACACAGAGTGCTGAGGAATTGTTCGGACTAATTCCAGTCGCTCAATTTCACCATCGCACATCACAACAAAACTCGAAATACCTCCATACCATCTGGATCATTGACGGTCCACCACTGTGTGATTTACAATAAGTTTTCGTCCTCACACAACTTCCTTGTAATATCGACTACTACCAGCAATTTTTCCGGACCAATACAGCTTAGGGACTTTCAAGAAAAGAGTCTACTTTTTAAAAGGCCGGGAACGCACCTGCTATTCTCCTGGCATTGCAGTTGTTCATGGGCGGTGGTAGTCACGATCAGGAATGTAATGATGCATTTAATTACATGTTTACATATGGCATTATCATTTGCATTGCATATGCAATGCAGTTGTTCATAGGCGGCGGTAATCACAATCAATTAAGCCGCATGCTCCTTTGGTCGCTCTTATATAAAAAAAATGTCTACGGGCCATAGCATCCACTTAACATACCAATAAATAAATACAATTAATACCAATAAATAGACGATTATCTACCATCGGTTAACAATCAAAATTCAGATGCGTTGTCATACCTGAAGACTAAAAAGTATTTCCGGTTTTCTGCATTCCCTCAATTACGTGCAATATCCCCGCCACCACTTATTCCAGGACCACTTTTCCCAACACCACTACACTAGGAAAGACACGCCATCGTCGATAATACGACATGTGATTCGCTTCTAAACGAGGCATCCTCAGATGAAATGACCACGGTCAGCCACCGCAGATTCTACTTCACCCGAGGACTGACGATAGAACAAGAGTGTCATATATGCGAGACGTGTCATAGTTTAATCGTGAATCCCATCTATCAAGGGCGCCTATTACGGCCAAACAATTTTACTATAGGAAAGGTCTGTGTCCAACATTGAACTGTTTATAGATGATAAACAAATTATAACAAGTATGGCCTAATCGTGTTTAAGGATTATTATTTAAACGGGTACGTGTTACTCAATAAATTATTTCAAGTAACAGGGAAATTGCAGTTGAAATAAATGCATTCTAAGAGCTATAATAGGATCATGAAATTTCCAAATAAATAATTTCTGTATAAAATAAAATTATGACAAACAAACAGTAATTTAATCTGTAGAAACTGAATACTAAATATTTTTTGGTTACACAATCTTTATCAATATAGTAACAGCCATTTTATTAAATAGACTGAATAGATCATTTAATTATAGTGTATATATTAAACATACTGCCTGTAAATAATAATCTTTTTATGTTTCAAACAAAAAAAAATAAGTAATTTAATTCATAGTTCTTTAAGTATATTGAATAAGAATGTTTACTATAACAACTGTAGTAGTAATCCGTTAAAAAACCTTTCTGCGTGTTAAAATTCTAATTTAAGAGTTTTAATTTTATTTAATCCATTGTCAAGTAATAAAAACAGTTATTCACAACATTACTAAGGTACATATAAAACTATGTCCAAAATATTTTAAGTTTAAATCATGTTATTTATAATTGTGAGAAACAATAAAATACGAACGTAAAATACGGAAAAAGCTCAACAAGAGTTCCCTTTACCCTTTTTGCAAGAGCACGAAAAAAGGGAATGCCCACTGTTCATAGACACTTCAGCCATAGGTGCCCACATTTAAAAGCATGTGGAAATTATAATATGCAATTAAAAGAATGAAATGGTTAAGGAATTAGTTTAAAAAAGTCCGGATTTTTAAGATATAAAGGTTTTTTTTTATTTTAACAAGAACAGTTTTTAACAACAAATGACTTCGTATTTTCGTGACATTTAAACCAAAATTGACACAGCGTTAATGTCCTCTTGAGTGAGTTACTGAGAGCTAGGAAGAACTCTGGGCGACGGAAAGCTGGGGTCATCGTTAATAGTGGATATCGAGTCCAAGTTCGTGCAGAGGTTATCGTAAGAAGTGGGGGCGGGATCCATTTTCAGGCCGTGGTCAATATGGCGAGAAGAATTATCGGAGTCCATTTAGAAATCTTATTCGTTGCTTAGACAACAAATCCACGTGAAAACAAACAAAATAACACAAATGCAAAGTCATTCGACTTGTGACTATTTAGTTTTGATAATTATGACATGGGCCTAGCTGTCAGATTCGATGTTGCCAATTAATAGACATAAAATCGATAAATAGATAGCGATTTTTTATTCGATTTATAATTTAATAAAAAGAATAATCTTTGATTCGCTTTAACTTCTGCACGCATTTTAAAATATGTTTTCTTTTATTTATTTAAATTCCATTTTAAATGTATTTTAAGAACAGATAAAAATAACAGTTAAATTGTGTAGTAGCGTTTTTGTTATGTTCTAAAGAGTTTATGGTAAATCAACTAGCAATTCGCTTGTTTAATTATCTTAACATCATAATAATTATCGAAAATAATATTACCATTATAATAATGACAACATAAAAATCGATTGAAAAAACAGAATCGACTTTTTTTACGAGATTTGTGATTGGCAACACTTTTTATTTTACCCACAAATTAATGACTTGAAGATTTACCTAATTTCATTTTTATCTTTTCGGTACTTTTTTTTGGGGAAAAATCTTTGTTGGATACATAAATACTGCGATTAATTACCATAAATAAAGATGTATTTTTAACAAATGCAAATTGTTGGGCGTTTCATGGCCAGAATTGGGCATTCCCCTTTTCTAGAACTTACCACTTAGTTTATTCCTCGCTGAATTTTAGATTAAGTGACTATAAAATAATATTATAATGTTTCAATTGTTTATCCAAATATTTGATGTATGTATATTCGAGGCTGTGTTAAATTAAATAATTATTGAAATAGATGTACTATACTCTGTTAGTTTTAGCTAATACGTGTTAGAAGAAAGGAATGTGATGGTTCATTTAACATTAATAATATGTGTATATATGACATTAACGTTGGCAAAATTATTTTTGCATATTTTTTCAGTTGCTTATTAATTGTATCAATTATTATTATCGCACTTCTAAAGCGAAGCGGAAAGGTTGGGCTTTTCTGTTGACTTAACTTGGTCGCTCTCCCTACTCACATTAAGTCAGGTTTATTATTTTTATACTGTACTAAGAAAATCAAATTATATTAAGAGGAAACAGTAATGAAATAAATGTTCCTTTCATTAAAATTTGCATTGATTTTCATTATATTTATTTAATTATGAACTGTTAAACATTGTTCAAAATTCTCATATATTGTGCAATTATGTAATTATTTAAATAAAGGTTTTTATTCAAAAAATTTCTTGAAAGAGAAATTAATACTTATATTAATTTTAATAAAATATGTCAATATTACGAACTTTCAGATTTTGCAACGTAAATTATTACTAAGCCGTTCTAGAAAATATGCGCGTAATAAATAATTTAACCTAATTGTTAATTGAATTAAAAAAGAATTGATGAAAATCTAGATCGTAAATATTATATACATAATATATTAAACTACATGAAAATTTAAATTGTTTAATTCCATTGTCCATCCTTTTTAACTCATTTTTTATACGTGGCTGAACCATGCTGCTCGACCGGGGAAAGATCACGCCTTAAGAGAATACCAGCATAAAAGAGCAGTTTGATGCTGCTTTGTTTCGTATGGTGAGTATAGAGAACCGGTGGACATTTTATATAATACGAGGCATTCCATCATAGTCCTCAGGTGTGACTTCGCATCTGCATTTTTTTATTCTTAATCGAAGATAAATTTATACGCCTATGGGGACCGCAGTATCCACTTACCATCAGGTGGACTGGACTCCTCGCTTGTCCTCTTATTCTATACAATAAACTTAGTTAACATTATTTTAATATGATTAAAAAATAGAGACGATTATTAATTCATAAATTTCTTAATGTAAAAAGGTAACAAATGAACATAGTCCACCTCATGATAAATAGCGTGAGATCAACAATATTTATTCTCGATTAATAATGTAAAGGTAGATTCGTTGTAACCCCATACGAAGGAAAATTATATCTTTTGTTAACAGTAAAAAGGGCTCCGGTTATCATTACCCGCACTATGAAACCGTGGCGTTATGCTGTTTTTTTCGTGAGAACGTGATCATTACCCGGTTAGCTGATTCAGTAACAGCCTGAAGTCAACTAAATAAGCTCATTTTATATTTTGTTAACAGAGTATAAAATATCAAATATACTCTAACTACATTTTACGTGCTAAAAAGCTATTGATGACCCAAATTTGGTTAAAACCAATCTTACCAATCTCGAACACAGGCGCAAAGTAGCCAGCCTTTTGGTTTTCTACAGGATGCATTTCAGAGAGCGTGCGCAGGAATTGCATAATTCCTCCCCCTTCCTTACACCATCGGACAACAAGACGTGCGGCCAGTTTCCACCTCTTCGTTGTTGACATACCACGCATTCCAACCAAACGGTTTGCTACATCGTTTATCATGCGTACAGCAAAGGAGTGGAATAAGTTGCCAGCATCTGTGTTTAGCAAGAGTAGCAAGAGTGAATAGGCATTTGTTAAGTCAGTGCGCTTCACTATCTTAGGATACATTACCACTTACCATCAGGTGGGATTGTAGTTAAGCGCTGGCTTAGAATAATGTAATATACCTATAGTAGTCTGGGACTTCCATCTTGATGTGTTACTCTGATCGCAATACAAAACTTCTTGCACCTTTGACGCTGTTCCCCGTCACCAGTTTGTATATTTTACGTCAGGCGTAAACGAGATGGTTATGCCGCGATTGTCGCAACTTCCGACTACCACATGATGAAATGGCGTGATGAATTACCTTTGGCCGCTACCACAATAAGGCATTTTTAAATTATTATAAGACGTATAAAATCGATAAACTATAAAAACTAAGTTTCCTAAATTTATGTGCGAGCATTGTAAGACGGTGAATTTTCTTTTTATTTAAAACTAATTCATCATCATTCATCATTACAACCCTTCACAAGTCCACTGCTGAACATAGGCCTCCCCCAAAGAACGCCACAAAGCACGGTTCTGAGCCACCTGCATCCATCGACTTCCTGCATGTCTTACCAAGTCGTCACTCCATCTCGTGGGGGGACGCCCTACACTTCGCCTACCGGTACGAGGCTGCCACTCGAGAACCTTTCTTCCCCATCGGTTGTCGGTTCTTCGAGCCATAAGGCCGGCCCACTGCCACTTCAACTTACTAATCCGTTGGGCTATGTCGGTTACTCTGGTTCTACTGCGGATATCCTCATTCCTAAGTTTATCACGCAGAAAAACTCCGAGCATAGCCCTTTCCATACGCCAGACATAGTGGCAAATTGTACTCTTCGGACTTCTGTACAATTTGCCGAAGGGTATGTATGTGGTCTATGGTGCTAAAGCCCTTTCGGAAACCGGCTTGTTCGGGAGGCTGGAAGTCGTCAAGTCTGCGCGCGAGACGATTCGTAATGACTCTCGAAAACAGCACGTAGACGCGGCTCAGAAGGGAAATCGGTCTGTAGTTCTTCAAGAGAGCGTTGTCACCTTTCTTGAAGAACAAGACCACCGCACTTCTGCTCTACGCCTCCAGTGTAATGCCACCATGGAGGACGGAATTAAAGAGCTTCTGAAGGACTTCAAGTACCGATCTTCCACCCGCTTTCAGAAGCTCCGCTGTAATTCCATCCTCGCCTGGGGCCTAACCGTTTTTAAGGTGCTGGAGAGCCATTCTCATCTCGCTCAGACTGACGTCCGGGATATCTTCGGAATAGTGTCGGATGAGACTCGCTCTTGGATCGTTACTCACACTTGCGTGTGGCTCCAACGATGACGTGTACAGCTGCTCATAGAATCTCTCAATCTCACTCAAAATCTCAGGTGTCCCGGAAACGATGCTGCCACATTCTGTCTTCAGCTTTGACAGTTTGCTCTTTCTGGCAGACAGATCTTTAGAAAGACTTTGGAGCCTTGGTTCTGCTCGATCGCTTCTTCAATACGAGCTGTATTGAAGTTGCGTAAGTCCCGCCGCATACATTTGGAGATCTGTCTATTCAGATGCCTGTATGCTGTCAAGTCTGTTGAAGAATGTAGCTTCATCTCCCGTCTAACAGCCATGAGATTAAGAGTGTGATCGGAGAGTTTTTGAGTTCTTCTGCGGCGGGTCTTGCAGAACTTAGCTCCGACCGCATGGACAGTTTCCACGAGCTTGTCATTCATATCGTCCACTTCATTGCAGTCTTCTAGGCACTGAAAACGGTTTTGTAACTCGAGCTGAAAGGTTTCGGGACTTTGGAACAGAGCACG